TTGCTGTGAGCTGTGATGCCATGGCACTCTACCCAGGGGGATAGCTTGAGTCTCCGTCTCAAAAACAAACAAACAAACAAAAAAAAACAATAAAGATATAATGCCCAAGGGTGTTTTCCTAACCATATCTTGTAAATGACAGCTCCTCTCTGGTCATGGTCTTAATAACAAGGCAGCACTGTTCTGGGAGTCAAAGAATAAATAAATTCAAATTTCGTGATACCCCAAATTAATGTCCCTTAAAGTTCCTGTGGTCCCAAGTAGTAAGTTATCACCAGAGCTCAGGCCATGAGACAGTACGATTCTGGACTGAGAGCGAAGACCCTGTCCAGAGCCTGCACTCCCTCCCCAGGGCCTCTCTCTGTATTATCCTCCAATTACAGAGTGAAAGGGGCCCTGCCAATTCTATGTGTTACTCATAAGGAACGTCTCATCACAGTGGCATGGAGGAATAATAACTTCTTTTCAAGCAGTGATATTCTCCACCCCTATTAAAACACCTGGATTAAAAGACCTTTATTTTTCCATAGCAGTGTTACTCAGAATAGCCAAAAAGTAACAAACAACCCAAGTGTCATCAGTAGATGATGCATGTATTAGGTGTTTTAAAATCGTTCCTTTAATGCAATTCATACTAGTAATAGTAATTTCAAAATAGCAAAGAGAGCAAGTTAGATTTTTACTAAATACAACTGGTCATCTTAAAATCATGATCAAAGAGGGGATTCAGGCACCTGCTTTCTTGCATTAAACAACTGCATGAGGTACATTGTAGAAAAATTGAATCTGGGAGGTGGAGAGTGAAAGAGGGCAGGGGAGGGGGTGGCGCCTGTGGCTCAAAGGAGTAGGGCGCTGGCCCCATATGCTGGAGGTGGCGGGTTCAAACCCAGCCCCGGCCAAAAACTGCAAAAAAAAAAAAAAAAAAAAAAAAGAGGGGCAGGGGAGAGAAAAACTTATTTATGTTCCAGAGCAGGGGCAGCGCCTGTGGCTCAAAGGAGTAGGGTGCTGGCCCCATATGCTGGAGGTGGCGGGTTCAAACCCAGCCCCGGCCAAAAACTGCAAAAAAAAAAAAAAAAAAAAAAATCTAAGTTCAATCCTTCTGGGACAGCTCATAACATGAGCAAGAATTAGAGGGAATCCAGTAATCTCACAGATTATTTTTTTTTTAATGACCAAACTTCTCTGTTATATGAAGCAGTCCCAGAAACTTCTGTGTAAGATCATCATGATTTAACCTCACCTGGAGAGGGCACCGCAGGTTTCCAGTGTTTGTACCATATTATTTCACAACACTCAGCCATCCTTGCTTGAATGTAGGAAGGACCAATCAAGATAACATAAATCTGTCCT